CGTCGTCAAAGTGCCGAAATATTGCACTTTGCATGCGCAGTAGAATTGACATAGGCGGCTTATGTACATATCTCAATGCTGCCACAAAATAATTAATTACTCGTTACCTGAACATTATTTATGAATTCTTATGCCCGAACCATGTAAATAATGCATTGCTGACCATTCTTTAATCATAAAAGTTCAACGACTGCGCTCATAAAGTGAGTAATTAACGATTTTGCATACTCATTATCGTGTATATTCCTCCTGCGCGCCGCCCGCGCATGCCGCGGAGGAATAATTACCGAAAATTCATATCCCCGTAGACTTTAATGCAAAATTGAATTTGCTCGCGCTTATGTACTTGACTTTTCAACTTTTTTGTCCACGTTTTTCTCTTGCATCACTCAACCAATTCAATCGGATGACACGGTTGACTATTTTTGCTTTAGCGTGAAATTTACTCGCTCGCTCAACATTGTTAGGTTAGGCGCACAGCGCCTCAATCAAACAGACCTAGTAATTAATTACGCCAATAAAATCAGTATTAATTAAATTTCATAGGAATGGAACAAGTGGCACCATCCCCGGCGAACAAAGAAATTTACACACATGAAAACGGAACCCTTGATTATGAATTATTAACAATTCAAAATGGTTTGGTACAGTTAAAAAATATTTCAAAGTTTATACTGCGTGGTCTTGTATTCGCATACTATAGTGAATTAAGGTAATAAAATCAATATTGATTGAATCTAATGGAAAATGAGGTGATCGTCGGAGTTGTCGTCGGTCAAGAGGAGTTCTATTTTCAAGCCGTCGATAAAGAAGAATTTTATTTGTATTTGATATTCAATTTTATTTATGTTCAATTGTATTTTTATAAGAAAAACGTTCGTTATTCATTCCATAATCAAATCTGAATTCGAAACCACATATTTTAAAATCAATTTGAATAAATCAGTTATTTTTGAAAGTTATTATTAATTGACTATTTTAAATATAGAAAAACAAGCTCTATAAAAACAGCGTAAATGGCGTCATGTAGCGGTGGAGTATGGGAACTAATTAAACTACAGTTTCAAAAGTGTGTAGTTCATCCTGTTCGCCGAAGAGATGGCGCCACGTGTTCCATTTTAGTAAAAATTCAATTAAAATTAATTTTTTCGGCTTAATTTGTTGTGATATGTATCAAATTACATCGGAGTGCAAGACTAATTAACTTCGAAATGTTTCGACTTTACCAAATCATTATCAATTTTTAACAATTTAGAGAAACTTTGGAAAACCATCATACTCCTATACTGACCAAATTTTTCTTCCAATATTAGGAAACATTATATTCGTATAATAAAGAAACAGAAGGTTATTTTGTTAACTATCAAAAATATTATAACTATAGCAAATGTGAAATGAATAAAAATTGTAGATGTTACATCACTTACTCTGCACAACATGAACTCCGTGATGCTCCAGTCTGGATAATGCGTTTCGTTCAATATCGTAACGCAAATGTCTCCGTAATAAACTGGTAGTGTATCCATCGGCCAATAATGGTCACATTTTTCTCTGCCTTTTTCGATGCACCTTGTTAGCATCACAATTGCTCTGCTGTTGCTTTCCCAGACCATTCTCCAGAAATCATCACGTGTCGAATGTAGAGGACCTTGCGTGACGATGAACTCCCTTGGAGAATTATGACCCTGTTAAAAACAAGACATGAATTAACAAATAACGAAATATATTCTTCTTCTTCATCTCTTCATTTAATTTCAATTTTTAATCAATCTACGAGGTGCGATCATTAAGTTCCGGGATTGTGTCTGCTGTGATCAAACGAATGACACGATTGACATGCGCTTGCAGAACATAAGAATAACAATCTTCGAGACATATGACACGAAGTTTGGAAGCGATACCTTCATTGAATCCTGTGTTATACAAGTTTATGGTAGCATACGCACGCTCTCCCTTGCGAAATCAAGATGGACTCCAAATTGGAACAGAGGGACATAAAAAAAAAAGAAACATGGAAAATTGTCGTCCTTCCTCACCCTCCGTATTCATCAGATTTGGAACCCTGTTCTTTTTGTTTCCCAAAATGAAATTAAAGCTCAAGGGTCGCCGATTTGACACGGTGGACGAGATTCAACGCGAATCGCAGCAGGTGCTTGATACGCTTCGACAAGAAGACTTCTAGGAAGCTTTCCAAAAATGGCAGAGACTCTCGGATCGGTGCATAGCTGCACAAGGGGACTACTTTGAAGGGGACAGTAGCCAAATTTGAAACACATAACCTTATCTGCATATACGGGACCAGTCCCGAAACTTAATGATCGCATCTCGTATTTACTTCTCAAAAAAAATATATATGTATAGTTCTATGATAAACATACACACATATCTCAAAAAAGTACACTTATGTGCACATAGAAAGAAATAATGAAAGATCTTGCAAGTATCTGTTAAATTAGTATCTGAATCAGTTGTATTATCTTATTGTAGATGTTGTTTCTATAATGACCCCATTATTTATTGATATTGCAAATACAGAGTTTTGAAGCTACGTCCGTTGAAAATTCTTGTTGTCTTTTGCAATATTAATATAAAAATTTCATTAAGATCTTTGTTCAAAACCTAGATTTCAACCAATACTTAAAATCCTTATTTTTAAATTAAAAGATAATTACTTCTCAAGTTCAATGTTTGAAGCTAAAACATTATATCGCTAATATCAAGTTAGATTACAGAAAAATTATATTGTAAAAATTGAAATTACAGAGAAGTGAAATTAAACGCTAAAATGAAAATTATGGTGGCATTGATATTTGACACCACTACGGAGATCAATTTTCTGTAAGTGAAGCAAATAATTAATAGAGAAATTGAACATACCGGAACATAGTTGGCGTTGATATAATCAGATCCTTCTTCATCATCTACAGGTTGAAGCTTAAATCTGCTATGATCATAGGGCAAAATATTCGTAAAACGATTCTTTGGCCTATTGCAAGGTAAATCCGCTGCTGTACATGGTTGATCTCTTCCAATGTGCTTTAACTCTTCGAATTCTTCCGAAAAACGAAAGTCGGAATCCGCTGACATTGTTCTGTAATGCTCTGCGAAGTCCTCTATTTTGATTGGCCGACTAAACAGAATAAAATAAAATTATGTTTACTTGCATCTAAAATACTATTCAAAGTTATTTTAAAATAAATTTAATTTAGGTTTTTGATTTCATCGTGGAGCGTTTATTAAAATAAGTGTTATCTACAAAAAATTCTTTATATATTTATGATTAATTCATAATTAATATTTTTATAAAGCTCATGAAGTTCATAAAGTTCACAAAGTTCATAAAGTTCATAAAGTTCATAAAGTTCATAAAGTTCATAAAGTTCATAAAGTTCATAAAGTTCACAAAGTTCGTAAAGTTCACAAAGTTCATAAAGTTCCTAAAGTTCATAAAGTTCACAAAGTTCGTAAAGTTCGTAAAGTTCATAAAGTTCACAAAGTTTACAAAGTTCACAAAGTTCATAAAGTTCGTAAAGTTCATAAAGTTCACAAAGTTCATAAAGTTCACAAAGTTCACAAAGTTCATAAAGTTCATAAAGTTCATAAACTTCATAAACTTCACAAACTTCATAAACTTCATAAACTTCATAAATTTCATAAACTTTATAAAGTTCATAAAGTTCATAAAGTTCATAAAGTTCATAAAGTTCATAAAATTCATAAAATTCATAGAACCCATAAAAATTATAGCATTCATCAAATTCATCAATGTCATCGATTTCATCAAATTCATCAAATTCATCAAATTTGTCAAATTCAGAGTATGAATTTTTAAAGTATTATAATACCGTTTGATTCATATATTAATATTTCATTCACATATTAATGGCCACACATTTTGCAACGTCTAATTCTCGCAATCATACATATTTGCTATATTTTAAACAATATTTGAAAATGTCAAATAAAATTTCGCTGTAAAATTACTAATTTTTACACTGTAAAAATTTGACAGAATACATAAGAAGAAGGTGAAAAACAATATGGTTATTAAAGCAGTAATTTGTCTATGAACTAATTTGTACAGAAATCCTATTGCGAATAAACTGTAATTTTATTTTATTTTAATTGTAATTATAATTTTATTTACCTGGTCTCAATGACGCTGTCTGGTAAAGACAAGTTATCCGTGGTCCGTGTTTCAGTTGTTTTACGACCTTGACTTCTTCTTCTTCTCACCAATAAGCCGATACCGAGTAGAGTTAACAAAAGCACTATTGGAACCGTCACTCCGACAATGATGGCCGTGTTGTCTTTATCTGTTGACGTACACATAACAATATCATTTTACTTTGAAATTATCCAATTTTAGTCAGCTAATTTCAAATCCACCATTTAACAAACTTAATAACATTTTATGTTTCAAAGATCTTCATTACATAATAAATTATAGGATTGTGAATATTACTGTCTTTCACAATAAAAATTGTAATAAAAATTGTAATAAAATTATAGGAGAGCCAGGACTAAAGTACTCTTTTCCCCGCTTCCACAAACGTTTTTAAACAACTTCTTTTTCTTAGTTGTGCATAATGTTTTGTGCCGTCGAACCATAAAGTGAACATGCGGTGTTTAAACTGAATTTCTAATTCAAGTCACTCAAACAATTTTTACCATTTCGACTTTCTTGTTGATATTCATAGTTCAACTATCCATATAAAACCAATCACTTTTTAAAATAATAAGTTTTTTCTAATAAGTTAATTTCTATAACTCATGTATAGTTTGTAGTTTATTTCGGTTTTGAACAACGCGGTTAGGAACGAAGCTAACGCGTTTCTCGAAACGAAAACTGTAAAAACTGTACCAAGGATGATTTATACATGTTGTAACCATAACTAGGAATCGATAAATAAACCACATACACGATACCAGTTATGCGTTCTATTTTTCGTTATCTAAATATATGGGCATTTTTATCGTTAGTTCAAATTTAATATGTTTATGTGAGTGTCTTTGCTGTTTCTTATAATAAAAATCCTGTTCTTAGAGAAAGTGTTTTTACTTAATTTTCTATAGAATGAGTTACCTTTGTCAGGGAAGTAAGAATGATAGTAACTGCGGAAAAATATTATAACTTTCCGATGATTTATCACGAAGAAACTTTTCGACCAAAACAATAGGTACATAAGCTTTTTATGGTACAATTTTGATTTCTATAGCTTTAAAATGTTAAACCAAACCGGTCAAATGACAGTTTCACAAGATTTTTATTATAAATAAAAATACACAATTTGTCGAAATGTTTCTCCTGTTATCTGTATTGAGCTTCGTCAAAATAAAAAATTAATGTGTGCACTAATTTTGTTTTTTCGTTTGTTTATCTACTTTTGACTTCATTTTTCATCTCAAATTAAGTACACATTATACGTCGGTAGGTTCAGTGTTAACAAATAGGCTAAATGTAAAAAAAATAAACATGTAAAATGTAAAAAATTACTGTAAAAATTGTTGTGCTCTATACTTGATAAAAATATGTATACATTGAAACATGTTAGCTTACCTGCCAGCAGCAATCCTTAGGCAGACATGTATACGAAATAACGAGGCATGAATTTAACAAGCTTCCTATAGCTATAGCTCAGACAAACACCACGTATTCTTTTCATAATATAAAAAAAATATCAAGAAACCATCAAGCTTATAAAGCTCTACACAGAATGCTATTTTAATTTCACAAAACATCGAGTTACAAAAGTTTCTACATATAAGCTTCTGAAGTAATAAAAATAAAATAGAAGCAAAAACTCAAAAAGTATCACAGTACAAAAATTGTATTTTTAAAGAAGAGTTAAACTCTTTCTAAGTTTTGTCGCAACATCTTATGTAAATCTGAACAAAGTGAAGAAAATGTATTTTTCGCTTTATAGAAATATGAAATCTACTGAGAAATATGAAAAATACATGTTCATCTCGGCCTCTTTCCATAAATTTGAAAATTTCCTAACAGAACCGATTGGAACAATCGTTCACATCAAGATTTTCACATGATCTTTCTCACCTGTTTGAATTGGGAAACTGTAACTGGTGTCCGTGAATTTATCAGGTGCTGTAAACGCTCGGACTTTTACTCTGTAGGTGGATCCAGACTTCAGAGGCCCGTTGCAGTATCCTATTTTGTTGTCACAATTTTCGCTACCGATCGTAAAGTCCTCCACGGATCCATTTTTGAATGGATAATAAGGTTCCATCACCTGGACAGAAGTGGAAAATAGTTGGATTGGTTGAAAAATTATTTCGGCTTTATCAGTAAGATTGTATTGTTCAATTATATTATTAACACTAGATTTACGGACGCTTTATGGTCCCTTTTATTTAAATTTACCTAAAGTAGAAAAATAATTAAATTGTAGATGATATGTGAACTGTCTAAAACATTGATTCTTTTGCTGAAAGTTGATGCATTTTTACAAAAATTTCTTAACAAATTCTGTCATCTAAAATAAACCTATTAACCGTCATTTTGACGGATTCCGTAAACCTAGTGTTAACATTCGTATGTTATTCATATGTTCAGATATTATTTCATGTATTACTATTAATTCAAATGTTCGTATTATATTACTCGTATATTATTCATGTGTTCACGTATTATTTCATGTATTACTATTAATTCATACGTTCATGTAATATTTCATATATTATTATTAACTCATATGTTCATGTATTATTTCATATATTATCATTAACTCATATGTTCATGTATTATTTCACATATTATCATTAACTCATATGTTCATGTATTATTTCATATATTATTATTAACTCATATGTTCATATATTATTTCCTATACTAATATTAATTCTTACGTTCATGTATTATTCCATACATTACACTATCCATATATTATTCGATTCATGTATCAACACTTTCTTTTTTCTTTTCGACAAATGCATACATGACTTATTACAGGACTAACATGTCAAAGTACCTTATTAACTCTAAAACTACCAAACTGATCATTTGATCGGTTCACAAGTTTCTTCCTTTAAATTAAAAAATTTGTTAAAACCTTCATCTATGTTATTATGTACCAAAGTTAAATACATTAACGTGTATTTTCAATTACATTTAATGTTTCTCTTATATATAACAACTACTTATTTTTAATATTTTAATATCATAAAATATTATATTTTTGAAACTTTATTTTTAATTTCAAATTACGTGTACATTATTCAATGACAAAAATGTTTGCTGTCGAAAGCTACTTGCATGATACATCAAAGTTAAACTACATCTGTATACACATTCTGTATATTCTCAATTATTACATTTAATTCTATGTAAAAAATATTAAATTTCTTTTAAATTTCTCATTTTTTCATCACAAATTTTACATCGTAATAAAGCAAGATACAATGCGAAATTACATAGTACGTAGTATGTACTAATTTCCTGTTGGCTACGTTAAACGACGTTCATTGATTTCTAATTAGTGTCCGATGTGTGGATAAGTAGAATTACTAAGAACTGAATCATTTTTTGAGGAAATGAAGGGTAATATTGAACAACATCACGTAAGAGGTTTTTTCTACATCCATGTCTAGTACATTCTTCGATCAAACGTGTATTAATTCACGTAAGTACTCTGTTAACTCGCTTATTTGTGATATATGTTCTATACTCGTAAAATGTTTCCTAGAGACAGAAAATTATTCAAATGATTTTTCAAGGACAAACAAATGATTCAAGCCACTGAAACAAGGCGCGCAAACAATCATGTGTTGACTTAATTTCGTTGTTTATTAGGAAGAGGCTGTAAATAATTTTCAAATTATCAAAGCAAATATTGTTGGTTCATACGTGCAATGCTAGCAGAACTGCATCGTATGAATGATTTAGGTTCTCATGTGTATCGAGGTCAATTTAATGAAACCCTAAATTGTACTGTTATAAAATATACCGCAGTTATGACATTTCATATAAAAACTTGAAAATTATTAATAGAAAAATAAATCGATTATTGGTGAACCTAAAAGTTTCATGGAACAATATGAAATAATTATTATCTAGCCAGTAATAATTGATACTATTAATTTAATATTAATATTTAATATTAGATTTATCACCTGTGCAATCAACTTGCCGCTTTTTGAAAAAAAGCTCTGTACAACGTTCATTGTCCAATTTGATGCTCATATCAATATTTTTAAACACAACACCGTGCACTTGAAGACGTCACTAATCACTACAATTTGCTAAATTAAATTAACATCGTGTTCCTCTTTCGTCAATTTATAAATTATACATTATTTTATAATTAGAAATGAAGATAATATCATTCATTATATTTTCATTGTTGTTGTTGAACTCATGTTAAATTGATTTCTTGAACAAGTATGTATTTTGTACACATTAACATTTCACTGCACTATTTAATGTTTTATTGCATGTTAGATATAAGTGGCACTTATGGTACAGTAATTTTCTATTATTTTCATATACTCAGTCACTTCACAGATCATTAAAAATCTGCATATATAATATATTTTAATTTTATTGATACATGTCCCTACTAAATTGCAACTAGCACATTTCTTTATCTTTCTTTATGTTAAATTTTTGATTGCACTATTTTTTTTCTAAAATTTTATTACGAAAATCATTCAATGCCATACAATATTTCCAAAAAAAGAACAACGTGAATTTTACACTTGCAATATTTTTAACAAATATTCCTGAGGAAATATGAAAAACTTAAACCTGAAGATATTCCAGACATCAAACTTCAAAATACTTAGCAAATATATTCAATTACTAAATATTACTTCAAATAATTAAACTACCCTTTTTAACACGTAACCACGTATTACAATTCTGATTATTTAAAATAAATTTTCAGAAACAATCTGAACTATGTGACTATGAACTTTCACAAATTTTTATACAATTCATTCAAGCCGAAAATTTCGGCTATTCACGCTATTACTTCACACCATCAAAGCATAAAAGCTTTCAAAACTTCGACACATTTAGCAGCGTCCCACGGCCATTACAACTTGCAGATCCAAGAACGCGAATCGAACTCTGCGATTAACGGACAAACTGTGTTAAAAGGATGCAGGTATTTATGAAATGTCCGAATAGCACAAGGATGACGTTCATTTGATTTCTACGCGTTTTACTGTTACGACAGTTCACATAATCGTTAGTGTGTCCTCTAACGACGACCAGAATCGGTCGCGTACCGAGATCAACTGTTGACTGCACGTGGCGTACACGTAATGCAACAATTGCAGCGAGCACCAATTGTTTATGCGTGGTCTTGAGTACACGTATTTTCTTCGTTGTTTGCGTTATTCGCTCGTGATCTTGCAAGTTAACGAGCCACTTGCCATGATACATTGCATTCATTATTTTACATCTCTATTGCGAGATCGTTCAGCGTGCCGATGACGCATTGAGTTCGATTGAAAAAAGAAAATTATATCTCGACGCAATTTAACAATATTGAAGAGCCTTCCTGCAGGATATACTTGATATGAAACATTGAAAATCGATAAAAATTAATGACCAATTGCTGTTAATAATATGAAGAGGCTGCAAGTGGTTTCTTGGGAAGATGATTTTCAAAATAAATTCAAACTTTGAACTTTTAGTTCAAAACACTTCTGGAATCTTTAGGTTCTTTTTTTAAATCATCTTGTGTAGCTTTAAAAGCTTTTAGTGTCAAATAATACCAAACGATTAATCCATTATCTATAAATTTTTCAAGGGGTGAGTCAGGGTTATGTAATTACTACGACAATAGTAAAACAAATAAGAAATGTTAAAATGTTAGATATTTGGGATTTAAGAATCTTTCAATATGGAAATTGCAGTTGGTATTAATCTACAGGCTCGTAGTGTAAATAGAATTTATGTTTGTTGTATCTGTAATGGGCGTCACGAACGTAACTTGATATTACACCAAAAGGTTAATATCCTGTGACGTTATATTAAAAGTTTATTGCCTCGATTTGCATAATATATCAATATCAAAAAGTCTTTGTAAACGTACTCAAATATTGTCGAAGTAAAAACAAGATTAAACAGTAATATTAATTCGATTGTTTTTAACAAGGAATTGTTCATTTTACAATTCCTTTTGAAATAATTTATTGCAATAACTGAAAGTTTCGTATAAAATTTCGTTCTCAAATAAACTTGTTAATGAACAGCATTTAATCTTTATTTATATAGAAGATAGATAGATGAATAATTCAGATGACACCATAAGTGAATCACCCTGTACGTATATCACTTAACATTGACATTGACCTAACTAATATTTCAAATTTGCTTTTACTGAATTCGTACTTCCATATAATAAAAATTTACAATAAATTAATAATCCAATATAAACGGGAATACAGATAATAAGGTTTGTATAATACTCTCAGAGATATAAATTTGAAGATTTCCATCCAAAACCTATGATTTATTAAGTTGAACCTATCAAGGTTACCAAGGCATTGATATGGTAAATTGTACAAATGACAGTTCTTGTACACTGTTTATTGTACTTGTTGTACTTGTACTTGTACTTGTACTTATTTCTACTTACGAGGTGCGATCATTAAGTTCCGGGATTGTGTCTGCTGTGACCAAACGGATCACACGATTGACTTGCGCTCGCAGGACATATGAATAATAATCTTCGAGACATATGACACGAAGTTTGAAAGCGATACCTTCATTGAATCCTGTGTTATACAAGTTTATGGTAGCAAACGCACGCTCTCCTTTGCGAAATCACGATGGACTCTAAATTGGAACAGAGGGACATAAAAAAAAAAAATGGAACATGGTCGTCCTTCCTCACCCTCCGTATTCACCATATTTGGAACCCTGTTATTTCTTTTTGTTTCCCAAAATGAAATTAAAGCTCAAGGGTCGCCAATTTGACACGGTGGACGAGATTCAACGCGAATCGCAGCAGGTGCTTGACACACTTCGACAAGAAGACTTCTAGGAAGCTTTCCAAAAATGGCAGAGACTCTCGGATCGGTGCATAGCTGCACAAGGGGACTACTTTGAAGGGGATAGTAGCCAAATTTGAAACACGTGACTTTATCTGCATATACGGGACCAGTTCCGGAACTTAATGATCGCACCTCGTATAGCAAAATCGTGCATGCATTTATTTGATCAATACGAAGTATTTTACCTGGTAAGGTGGCCATATGCTGTACGCCTGCACGTCCCTCCAACTAGGCATCTCCAAGCCAGAAGCATTTTTGCTATCATCCTCCGCCACGATGATGGTGTACGAAGTCACAGCTCCATTCTGTTCGCTGAAATAGTTCTTCCTGAACCGTATCTGAATCGTGCTGCTGCTTTTGCAGACTTCAGTTGGTACCACTTGTGTCGGTGGCTTTGGAGGTGCCAGTATAGGCATCTTTTGTTTCCACACTGCTTCAGGTCCGAAACCAATTTTCGTCTGCGCTTGGATACGGAAGATGTATGTTTTGCCAGGTATGAGGGATTTGATGATGCCACGGTATTCGTTTGGTCTGAAGTCCTGCATCTGAGTATGTGCTGAACCCTAATAATAGCGAAAACAGTCATCGTTTCAATTCGATCAGAGTTTATTTACATGAGTAGTAAACCGCAGTAGAACAGTAGAATAAGAATAATAAGTAGCAATTTTGAACATTATCTTCTGTAAACTACTCGGTTATTTCGATTCGAATGTTACTGAAACAAGTTAGTCAGTTAGAACTAAATAAGAAGTGACTGACATGTTCAAATTTATATGTAGATGTTCTTGAAGAACATTATTCAACGTTGTTATTTAAAACTGTTTAATGTCCAATGAATTACTGTTACCAAATTATTTTAGAATATTTTTATGTTGTTAAAGTGACACAAAGTTTATGTACTTTTAATACTCCTCATTTTCTATAATTAATATAATCGTTTTGCATCACTATATATATCTATGTAGTAGATACTGTATATCTTCAACTTTCATTAACTTTCACATTTCAAACTGACCGACATTAATATTTTAATATAATTTCACTAGTTTGTACGTAACATTACTATTTTTGTATATTATCAATATTGTTTTCATTAGTTTATGAAATACAGTATTGCCTTGAAACAACAGCTTCGAGCTTCAAAATTAGCAAATTTCTATCCCTACTTTGATTGAAGTCAGCTGCCGAGTGAGAAACCCGAAACTAATTTTTATGTTTGACCGAACAGTTTGGTGAAAGGAAGACAGAACATGTATATTGTTTTCTCACTCTAAGACATAGTGATTCAAAAAACAGCAAGCCGACCACTACCTTTGAAATAAGTAACTGGCCCGAACGTGTTGCTTATTTCGAAGCAATACCTCGTAATTGGACTTACCTCCAATCCATAAGTGATGGTATATTTTCTGATGATGCCATTCTGTTCCTGACTAGGCAAAGACCATTCGAAGCTGATGTCACTGGGCTGAATGTCCGTAGGATGGAACTTCTCCACCTTTCCAGGGTAAGATTCGCTGGTGGTGAAACTGGCGCTCAAAGGATTCGATATCCTGAGATTTGAGGATGCTGTGCCGGAGCGTACCACGAGAGTGAACGTGTAATTCCTGTGTGGTTTCAAGTCGGAAATGGTTATCGAATTGAACGACGTGATGTTCTGAATGTAATTTCCTTCTGTGTTTATGTATTGGACCTCGAAGGCGTCGTATTGACCACGCGGAATGTCCCACGTTAATGTGATCCTGGTGTCGTTGATGTCTATCGCCTGGATCGCTGTTATCGGTTCAGGATCTGAAAAATAATATCAGGATAAATAGAAATATTTTAGTATACTGAAATATTTTCGAGTGGAAATATTTTCGTATACTGAATTGTCAACATTTTTAATTTTAATATTTTATAAATAATTAAGACTAGCATCTGCTTGATTCTTTTGTTTCTCTTTCTGCAGAAAATAAAATTTTATAAAATAATCAAACATAGTACGAAATATTCTTTTCTTTCAACTGCAGTTATTATTCAAAAAATTAAGTATATAAAATAGTAAAAGCTATTCGGTAAAATTTTATTCTATTTGTATTAATGCAAAGATAATTCTAACTTTGTTCGTTCGAATTTTGAGTTTGTACATTCCTTGCCCAGGAACGAAATAGTCACATTAAATTTTAAATAATAATTTATGGAACCTTTTAATACTTAATGTAAAGAAGATCGAGGTAAGATGATCAGAGTTTTTATTTCTCTTGATATTACGAGATGATTTTTTTGGAGGCGCCATTTATGCATATGAGTTGGTAATATATTATAATTTAGCCTGAGGTAGTCAGAACACAATGCAACCGGAAATTCTAACGAAATCATGATTTGTGAATGTAAATAAGAACTTGACATTATAAATTAGCGAATAGAGGCAATCATATATAATTAATTTTGACACTTATGCAAGTGCAGAAGAAATATAGTGGTTTAAAAAAAGGTGATCTATATTATATTTTAATGTTACTTATATACATAGTTTTATAAAATGGTACACTTGTTACCTTACCGTGAAATATTTCATTTGCTGTACAATTTATTTTTGATATTTTACAGATATTTTCTTAATACAATTTTGCAATGCAATGGACCCACATTAAAAACAGATGAGTTAAGTCACGTAACAGAGGACAAAGAAATTTTCGATGCCATAATGTGTCCAGAATGTGATGAGATATACACATGTATACATATGTGAGATGTACATATGTACATATACATGGGAGATTTGTATACTTATACATCTATAGAGATGGAGAGGGTCTATACCCTCCTTTGAAGGGATGAATGCAAATTTTAGTTTAACTTTCAACTAAAAATAACAGTAAAATTATTTTTGTTTGTGTACATATTTTTGTTTCAGAGACATATAAAATTGTTGCAATATGATATCTTTTTCGGATAAAAAATAAAATATCATTTCAGTTATTTTCCTTTAATATGATCATCTTACACCGATTTTCTCTACGTTTCTAAAACTATATTTCTTCACCGAATTTCTAAAAAATCGAAATATGTCGTCTTTTTCAATATGAACATTTTAGTGAAGAAAAAGTATGTTCCATTCTATAAATATAAAAATGAAATGATTGAATCAGTATATTATGTCAATTGATTATATTTACATAAAGATTTAATTTAAAAATAAAATACTCGCTAAGCTATTAAAAAAATGTAGAAATGTTTAATTAATTAATATTATTAAAATTTAATAAATTTCAGTTCGTTGTATAGTAATCAAAGAGTCTACTTACGATTTTGCCATTTTATTGAAATAATATTACAATCGTTAAAATAACGAGAAATTTTGAAATACCGATCTATCGATAAAAGAAGTATATTACCCTTAATTACTACTCGTTAGAGGCGATTATCCTAAACAACTGTCTAAGATACTGTTTCTAAGATTATGTTAATAATACTTGTGAAATGTCTCGAATATCACAAGCTTGATTTTCAACAACCAAATACCACGTTCTTAAGTGGGATTTTATAAATGTGCACCACTTTGATGCACAATTTAATAAAGCAGTCACACAAATGTCAACAAAACGAAACTGCACAACGTGTATTATATAAACAAAATATGCTATTTAATTGTATCGAGTTTTACGCGAGTTTATTTTAAGTATATGTACAATTTTTATATTACAAGTTTTGCCATCTTTGACAAAATAACTTTTTTTATATCACTTGTCGAAAAATTTTTAATATACTTTATCAGACTAAAATTAACTCTATTTTTATGTACTACTAATTGCAAGATTAAAAAGTAATAATAATTGAAATTTATAGTAAGGATTAAAACACTTTTTCACTAGTAAAAGATTGTTGAAATTTATTACTTCATAATGTAAAATTAATATCAAATAAAGTTTTACTGTATATTAAAGTCCTACTGAAAATTAAAGTTCACTTCTTGTTTGATTTGATTTAAGTTGAAATTCAAGTGATAAAATTTTCCCTTATAGTTCGTCAAATTGTAAACATTTATTTATGTCTGAAAACGTCTGTAGTTGATACGTAACAATATTCGCAGTCTTGGCATATATCTGAAAGTATAGTTTTTTACCCTCAAAACAAGCTATAGTGTATTCAAAAAATAATTTTAAACGAATTTTTTCAGAAGTGGATTTTAACGAACTATAACCATTTACCGAAATACCTCCATTCTCATGATTCCATATTTTTATGTATATGATTGAAATTGTTTTTCAAGTAATGAAATGTAATAGTAAACAATTATGGTATTCAACGAAAAAATGAGATAATACACAAAACTAAAGCACATTTGTTTATGTTCCAATGTAAATAATCACATGTGCCGTTTTTATTTTTTAAGATAAATACGAAGTACTTCGTTTAATTATTATGAAGAATGTTCTGAACGTTTACCGAAAAGAATACCGTGTAAAATGTAAATACTCGATCGATTTGACATCCATTTTAATAAATTTACGTTTACTTGAATATACATACCCGTGCCAGAGGGACGGCGAAATCGAAAAAGGTCATAAGACTAGGACGCAATAATTTGATGCCTGAGAAACTCCTAAACTTTTGGATATTTTCATTACTTATTTGTTCTAGCAGATAGTATAGAAATAATTTATGACTACTTTTCAATTTTCTACATGAAATGCATTTGATGTTACAAAACATGGTTATAAAAAACATTTCAAATGAATGTATTGCCTTTATTTTAGTCACTGAATACAGATATGAGTTATTAAAAATGTAATTTGTTTTTAAAACACACAAGAGCTGTATATATTTTTTTATTCATTTTATTAATCTTCAATAAACTTTTTAGATACATTTAAACTATCATTTATTACTGAAAATACAAATAAATCTTTTCTCTTATAACAGATATTACATTAAATGATACTCGCATTTCACAAATAGTGGATAAAAGATTCGAGCAATAATACTTGCTATAGTAAACATCTTTAAATAAATCATTTTGAAATTGTATTTTTATTATAAGATATTACAAATATCTCTACTATAACTTCCTGTAAAGTAAATAACTTATTAGGAATAGAGACTCAAAATGCAATATAGTATCCTGAGTAAATTTTATTCGAAAGAGTCAGAGCGCCACATATTTTAAAAAATCTGGTAAAAATGGAATCTTTTAACTTCGTACTCAAATTTTCAAATTATATAAATTCCTCTTACATAATTACCATAAAATTGATTTGAACAATACGGCACTTTATTTCCATAAAAAATAATGCCTTTGACCCAAAAATAGTTCGCGTATATAAAATATCATTTATACATATGTCTTATTGCATTAACAATTTAACTAATACCTTGCAAATACCAGTTCACAAAGTTTTAGTTCGAATGTGGACATTTTTCCTGCCACTTTACCATCCCTCGGCCGGGTTGCATTAACACCAAACCTACCTGAACTCCAAATTAAAACTTGAGAAGTAAAGACGAATGATAAAACATAAAGTAATGTATGCGTCTTGATGAAGATCAACACAGAAACCTCGTAACTTCGTAATTTTTTTCCAACAATGTGGGTGTTCACGCATTTATGATATATCAAAGCTTGTGTATACATAAATCATGTAATCTACGAATCAGCAAAAGTAAGGTGAAGTGGGGGAAGTGCAGACTGGTTTTTGTAAAGTTGGTATTTAAACGTAAGTATTTTCAGTCTGCTATGTAAAAACTTAGCGCTGTCGATATCGAACGATTTGCACAATTACTACCATTTAGTTAATATTAACTAGAACCTTAATTTTGTACATTTTGATTTTGATAGGAAATTGTTTAAAATGTCAACTACTCTGCACTTTCCCCGAAAATAGGGTAAGAGCGTAACTTGAAGTTAAATACTTTGAAACTTTATTTCATGTGCAATGGGGCCAGAGCAGAATTATTAACAAATCTGCTATAAAATGCTTTTTACTGCATTATGCAAGTACTCTATACTGCAAACAAGTACTCTTAGCTGAAATATGAAAGGGGATATCATGAAACAAAACAAGGAAACAAACATACTAAATGGAGAAATTTCGCTCATATTGTAATAAAAATAGCCTGTATACGCATTTGCCCCGTTTACGAACTTACCCCGCTTCACCTTAACTTGAGAAAACTGTTAAACGGTTTTGGTTTGGTAGGTTTAGTGTTACATCCCATAATCGTCCTCCGTCGCGCAATACTCACAAAGTCGATCCTGTCTGATCAGAGGTCTGCTTTCGACATTATCGCTGACTGTCCAAACCGTCACGTTGTAGAGTTTACCAGGTGTTAGGCCAGTGAACGTCACCTTGGTGTCGGTATCGTTGACCAGACGTTCTTTCGTCGTGTTGTTCTCATCGCTAATCCGGAAACGATACAGATCGAACTTGGACGATTGGATCGGTGTCGGTGTGTACCTTAATGTCAACGAGTCGGGTTGATCTCGATCGACCACCACAACGACCTCCGATTGGATCAGTGGCACTGAATTCGATACAATCGTGTTTGTTCTCTTGCAGTTTCTTTTATTGTCCTAACGTTTCTCTCTTTATCCAAGATAATTTCAAATCCATCTTTCAATTTTGTGTAAAGTTATCAATTTTATGAACTTATTAAATTTTCATATTTTGTGTTCATGTCTTGCTATATTTTTGTACTTTTTATAGAACTGATGATGCAATTAGATGAATTCAGATTATACGTTAAAAAAATAGCGTTTGTTTATATGTAACTTCATTATTGAGGATACTGATTTTAAATATTTGCTTTTCATATATAGGCTTGTAATTGTAAATAGACATATTGTAATTTCGTTTGTAGCTGAAATTATTGCAACATTGTTCTCTAGAAAGGAGCAATTTTATTGTTTACCGAGATTTAACATAACAATTATTATTGTAATACTACTGTCTTCTCGTAGTGAAATTTTACAAACAAAAAATATTAATAATTAAATAAATATAGAAAAATATCCCGATAGCTCAATATTAAAATCTAATACTATTCAATTTATATCTGTGAATTATTATAGTTTCATGTATAATGTGTCTCGTGTATAATACATGTTATAAAATTGAAAGAAGAAAGAATTATTGAAAATTAAAATTAAAAATTAAAGTTAAAGAATTATATTACACATAGACGTGTGAATATTATACATATATCATACATGCAATAACCTAATTATTGTCAACGATTTTTTAAGTCAAGTCTTGAAAACCAAATATTTTCTTTCTCTACATTCTTGACGTTCAATATATGTTCAAAATAGATTTTCTCAAAAATGAAGTTATGTATAAATAAATTTTACCATATATTTTCATCATATTTTTTTAAGTGTAAAATATTTATTATTCTACTTGTACCATCAGTTACATAATTTCCTTAAATACAGACATGATTTTGTACGACCTTCGAGCTATGATTCGAGAAATGTTTAAATTTGCCTGTTTTGACTGAAACCTAACCTTATTTTTTCTTTGAAACATAGTTTTTTAATAGAATTGTAATTTTGCTCTTAAAATAAATAAAGTTATATGAAAATTGCAAAGACACGCTCGAAAAGTGCTTAATACCTCATGCAAATGTCTCCTACTATTTATTGCTTATTTATTTTATTTTCAGTTTACGATTTCTTTGAAAACTTCAAGAAATTCTTAAAGAAACCCTTTGAGAAATTAAAGAAATCGTCTTATACTTTCTACAAATCAGATATTCTCTTAATTTTTATTTTACTTCTATCTGTATGTAAGAAAGGAGTTTATAAATTGTATGTTGAAACCTCTTATCCTAAAATCATTAAATAACATATGCTAAATAAAGTGATATTCCAAACTCACAGACAGTATTACATATAAAATATAATATATTTAATATAACATATAAAATTATGTTTCAAAGACAAAAGAAAGGACACGAAATAATCGAAAAGTTTGCCACCCTGTGTCGATTCAATTTCTTCAAATCAAATAGTGATGAAATATTTTACGAAACGAAAAGTCGACTAACAAAAGTTTAAGCGTCTATTATACATCACAGCACAACACACAGAAATTAGTATTCTAACAAACGTGAAACTTGCAACCAGATAACTCTTTAACACGTGTTAGCACTAATGTTTAGATGGAGCTCGTTAATGAAACACTTGGATTCGTTCGAAAAAGAGAAACGTAGCTACGATATATATGAAAACAATCGGTGATGATTACTTACTTGTTCTGGTTGTTAAATTGGTTACATCGCTAACCAAATTATAAGAAACGGTGTAGATGGTAAAGTTATATTGAACACCTGGCATCAGGTCGCTGACCAGCACCCTTTGCACTGCGTTTTCGTCAAAAACGATGCTGGACACATCGTTACTTTCCGTGATATTTTTTGTACGTAGATCATCGGGATTTTCGACTGGCCACCATCTTATTACGTACGTTTCGATTCGACCTTCTGGCCTTGGCCATTCCAAGGTCACGTTCGTGGAGTCAATGATCGGTGTAATGTTGAGCACTGGATTTGGTCCTGAAATAAATTTATAAATTTATGAAATATTATAAATAATATTCATTTTAGATTTCTAAATTATAAAAAATTTATAGACAAAGGTGGAAAAATTCTGCTATTTATTGATTTGGAATAAGCTAGTGTTGATTATTAGATTATGGCAAAGTAGATCGATAGAAATAATACAGTAGGAGTATTAATAACTCATTTTGGGGCTGAGTTTGCTTGAAAGCGATTAATACTTATTTATTAAAAGAGTAAATTGTAATAATATAATTGTAAATTTAACGTATTAATTTGTAATATAATTGTAATATAATTGTAATATAATTGTAATGTTAACATAATTGTGATTTCAACATACTGCATTTGAAGAGATATTGTACCTATATTTTCTTTTCAAAATGACAGTATTATTTTATTCATTACCAACTTCAAAATCCTATTATAATTTTGCAGAAATAATTTAGATGTTAATAAATAAATAATACTACTTTTTTAAGTCGTACGTATTCCACAGAAAATATCATAAAGATAATATTTTCATTACTGCAATTCTATTTACAGCATTGACGAATTTACATTTTTAACATAAATTATATGTTACATTCTAAGTTTAATTTATATATTTTCGACATCTATAATTCAATGTTATATGTATTCAATTTTATTTATAAAAATAAGAAATATATATAATGATTAATTGATTTATTTTAAAAAAATATTAAAAACATGTGTTGTCTCAGATCTTTGGAAAACTAAATCCTAATTAATCGAGAAATGGAGTAACATTTATTAACAATATTAACTATATCTTTATATAAGTATTATCGTCAAATCTGAAACTTTAAATTAACTTATCACAACTACTATTTTACAATGTTTTTCTCAAATCATGTTATATTGTGCAGAATTCGAAATCTGTCATTGAACATGTAACAGTTTAATTGTATGAATTTATTTATTATTATAATTTATTATTATAATATAGTATATTATACTATACATTATGCAATGCATAATATTTCTTACAAATAAAATTCAAAATATTTCATTACTTACGAACAGTGTGATTAACTTGAAGCGGATAAAGGCTCTCCACTGTGTAACTCACAGTGTTCACTTGAATCGTGTACTTTTCTCCAGCAGTCATATCCGCAACTTCCGCTTCCGTTTCTCGCACACTAGGTAATTTCACCCATCTAGGATCGTCTTCGGTTCGATATCTAATCGAGAATTCAGAATACAGAGAATCTGTAGGAGCTTCCCAGTGAACGACGACGGTGTTGCTTGTCACCCTTTCGATGCTTAGATTCTTTGGTGGATGTGGTACTGAAATTATACGAAATGATATCAATAATTAATATAAAACGATATACTTATTACATTTGTTAAAACGACAAGTTTTAATATAAAGTTCAGTTGTCTTATTTTTATTATCATTCTTAATTATCAATTCTTTACTGTTGATTCTCTTGTTTGTTGTGTAATGTGCTTTTCTTGTTGTTGTGTAATATACAAAATGTTGTTGTATAGATACAACAAATTAGAATTCAGTAAAATAATATATATCGATCACAGGAGAAAATTCCTTTAAAATATACAAGTTCAAATAGAAAGTACATGTAAATAATCGTATATACATAAACATAAGTAATACTCTTCATACTATACATATACTTATTATATTTTTTACAATTATACTAAAAGTTTGATGTTAGATCACAACCATATATTTAAACTTAATATTAATTTATTAATATTTTGTACATTTTCAAATGTACATATATTATTTGGTATATTTATAACACTAGGTCCAACGATGTTCGCTCGGGAACGTACCGCTGTCAACCCATGAGTTGGCGCGCGAAGGGGCTGACCCAAAAGAGTTACTTCAATTGGTCAGAATAGAAAAATGGACGTCTAGCAGACATATTTTCAGCGGTTCTATTGGCTCTACAATAGTAGAGTCGCACTCCAATTTAACTAAAAATAATAACAGTCGACAAACGTCTCTTAAGTGAGCGATAGTGTGATTTCAGCAGTTATAGCCATTATTATTCTCATGAGTGATGCCCACTTAGACGTCGACCGATTGACGCGTCCCGATTGGACGGTCCCGATTTGACGCGTTCCATTTCGAAGCTCTACCGATTGGATACATTCCAATTCGAAGCTGTTAGACTCACAGTGTTCACTTGAATCGTGTACTTTTCTCCAGCAGTCATATCCGCAACTTCCGCTTCCGTTTCTCGCACACTAGGTAATTTCACCCATCTAGGATCGTCTTCGGTTCGATATCTAATCGAGAATTCAGAATACAGAGAATCTGTAGGAGCTTCCCAGTGAACGACGACGGTGTTGCTTGTCACCCTTTCGATGCTTAGATTCTTTGGTGGATGTGGTACTGAAATTATACGAAATGATATCAATAATTAATATAAAACGATATACTTATTACATTTGTTAAAACGACAAGTTTTAATATAAAGTTCAGTTGTCTTATTTTTATTATCATTCTTAATTATCAATTCTTTACTGTTGATTCTCTTGTTTGTTGTGTAATGTGCTTTTCTTGTTGTTGTGTAATATACAAAATGTTGTTGTATAGATACAACAAATTAGAATTCAGTAAAATAATATATATCGATCACAGGAGAAAATTCCTTTAAAATATACAAGTTCAAATAGAAAGTACATGTAAATAATCGTATATACATAAACATAAGTAATACTCTTCATACTATACATATACTTATTATATTTTTTACAATTATACTAAAAGTTTGATGTTAGATCACAACCATATATTTAAACTTAATATTAATTTATTAATATTTTGTACATTTTCAAATGTACATATATTATTTGGTATATTTATAACACTAGGTCCAACGATGTTCGCTCGGGAACGTACCGCTGTCAACCCATGAGTTGGCGCGCGAAGGGGCTGACCCAAAAGAGTTACTTCAATTGGTCAGAATAGAAAAATGGACGTCTAGCAGACATATTTTCAGCGGTTCTATTGGCTCTACAATAGTAGAGTCGCACTCCAATTTAACTAAAAATAATAACAGTCGACAAACGTCTCTTAAGTGAGCGATAGTGTGATTTCAGCAGTTATAGCCATTATTATTCTCATGAGTGATGCCCACTTAGACGTCGACCGATTGACGCGTCCCGATTGGACGGTCCCGATTTGACGCGTTCCATTTCGAAGCTCTACCGATTGGATACATTCCAATTCGAAGCTGTTAGATTAGATTAGGTTAGGTTAGGGTAGGTTAGGTCCATTCGGCACTGCTTCGAGGCGGAACGCGTCCAATTGGTAAAGCTTCGAATTGGAATGCGTCAAATCGGGACCGTCCAATCGAGACGCGTCCAATCGGTCGACATCCAAGTGAGATTCGTCCGACCCCCATTCTCATTTGCCGAAATGTAACGAAGTGTTTACAATAGAGATACAGCTTTTTTTACTTTGGATCATACACCAACTCATGGGTTGACATCTGTACATCTTAGGTATAACAACATGAACATTAGAACCACTTACAAACGGCTTGAAGATAATCATGGGGTTCGCTCCTGAGTCCATGACTGATAGCGAAAACTTTGACTTGGTACGCAGCACCCGGGTACAAGTCCCCCAAAACGATATGTGACTCCGTTGTAAGGGTCGTGGCACTCTCTCCCGTGTCATTTCTGTTAAGTGTCACCTCAAATTTCTCTTGCCTCGAATTTACATCGCTTTTCCACGAGATATTCAGTCCTGTTTCGCTGGGTTTCAGATCCTCGATTATCGGACTCGAAGGCCGTGTGACTTGGTACAAAACAGTCTCGTTTGACTCAACCTTGTTGCTGATGGCTTGCACGATTATGGAGTAATTTCTGCCAGGTAGCAACGCTTCTAAAGTCACCTGAAAACGTATCAGTATTAGATGATTTACTGGAACAGTTCTCACGCAGTGGATTTGTTTGAAGAGTTTTTGATTCGATACGTCATTTAGATTTAAACATACGGTCATTCATGTTAATATTTGGACACCACATCGTCTCTGAATGTGCTAGTTCGTGTGAAAAAAAATTTTTCGTGTTATTTGAGAAATTCTTTCCTTAAACGGGTCTTCTTTTATGTTCATTACAATATTTGTTTCATTTTAACCTCGTGTTTGTGGCTAGTGAAGTAACTAATCAAAAATTTGTACGATTGATGATGTTCTGATAATAAGTTCTTAAAATTAGTTTAAAATATATATTCTTCAAATTTAAAATATATGTTCTTAAAATTAAAATTAAGATTAAATTAAATGGTTCTTAAAATTAAATTTAGCCCAAACAATTTTCATATTTTAAAAAATTATTTATATGTGTATTAACTATAATATTGTGTCAACAAAATATTTGTGAATATATGTTATTTAACATAAAAACATTTCTCACGCTCTTTTACTGTCACGGATTGCTATAAAAATGAATGACTCGAATATAAGTGAAAATATAAGATGTGATAAATATTAATATCATATAAAAATGTGTTAAGTATTCATAAAATGTTTTTTAACGAATCGTAAACAAGCTTCTGCTGACATTTTCGAAAACAAAGTATGATTACAAAAATAGGAATGATTAATGGTGTTTTTTATTTTCACATGTACCTTATCAAATTAGGATTTCCGTTTTAGACATTTATGACTTATTCTGCATTTTAAATGTTGTTGCAAAAGATATTGTGAATCATTCACAATTATTTGCTTCTTCGATGAGATAAAATACTTGGAACGATAATATCTTTTTTCTAACAATAGGTTTTCTAACTTTCGAAAATTTGAGGTCATTGAAATTTTATTAAAATGAATAAATGCAGGTATATTCGTGTGCAATTAATATTTTTAATCGTAAGCTTTGTAACATCAAAGTTTAAACTTTTCTTTAAAAAAAAGTATGCTTTGCAAAAATTAAGTGATGTCCAATTTCAAAGATAAATCCAGTAGATAATTCGTAAAAATAAATCCATAAATATTTGTTCGACAAAATAATTATTCTTCACGCAATATTTAATTCGATTTGACATTTTGAAAAAATGATTTTAAAAGAAATATTTCTATTATTTTACGTTATCTATGTATTATCAAAGCTGAAGACGTCATTCATTCGCATTTTTAATGACTCACACTGCGTAAATTATGAAAATGGCTTAATATCATCTCGAATATTGGAGAATTCATACGATACGTGACTTTATACATCTGTAGCAACACTTACTTTTGTCTTATCAGTTGTTAGCGTGTTGCTATCACCGCTGATCGTTGTTTCTACTTCGTGGTATTGAAGTTTGTAGCTGTCCTGAGTACTCGAATTTTCAGGATGCCAAGAAACCTCCACCATTCCTGTTTTTTCGTCAATCACAGCACGGAGATCACGCACAGGTAGTGGTTCTAAAAGAAAGATACACCCGAATTAACATTTGTTAATTGAAAATTTATACATAAATTCAAAATAAAAAATTTTTATTGTGAAAGTTAGAGAATTTGGAGATTTGATGATTTTACAATTTGTGGGTTTGAAGATGTGAAGGTTTGAAGCATTGTTGAATTTTGGATGTGGAGATTTGAAATTTTTGGAACTTGAAAGTTTGAGAATTTTGGAATTTGGGGTTTTGCAGATTTGATAATTTGGTGCTTTGGTAATTTAGGAATTTGGGGGTTTTGCAGATTTTATAATTTGGTACTTCGGTAATTTAGGAATTTGGTGATTTGGTAATTTGGTAATTTGGTGATTTGATAATTTAGGAGTTTGGGATCTGGAAAATTAGGGATCTAGGGAATTTGGGATCCTGGGAATTTGATATCTAATGAATTTGGGATCTGGGGAATTCGGGATCTTGGGATCTGGGGAATTAGGGATCTAGGGAAAATGGGATCTGGGGAATTTGAGATCTACCAAATTTGGAATCTAAAGAATTTGGGATCTTGGAAATTTAAGATCTAGTGAATTTGGAATCTAGGGAATTAGGGATCTACGGAATTTGGTATCTAGGGATCTTGGGAATTTGAGATCTAGTGAATTTGGGATCTGGAGAATTTGGGATTTAGGGCATTTGGAAATTCGATAATTTCGTAATTTGATAATTTGGGAATTTGGAAATTTGGAAATTTAATAATTTGGAGATATATGAGTTTGAATATTCGTTAATTTTGTAATTCGCTAATACGTGAATTTAAAAAATTGAAAATTTGAATATTTAGAAATATGGAAATTTGATAAGTCAGTAATTGAAAAATTCAGAAATTCAAACATTCGAAAAATTTCAGAAATTTATAAATCCGAAAATTTTAAAATTTTAAAATTTCGACGTAAAAAATAGTTAAATATCATCAAACCTTCATTCATATTAGTAATTAATACTACCCAAACAACAAATAAACTCACTCAAAGTAACGTCACCACTGACTGGCCAACTAGTGACTTTTCCAGAGACAGTCTTCAAAATAACTTGATAAGTTTTCCCTGGTTCCAGATCTTTGAACTCCCATTTAGTCTCATCATCCTTGTTTCTGGTAACTGGCGCTAGTCTTCGATTACCTCCCAACGATATTTGATACTTATCGAATTCGGACATTCCATCAGGTGGACTCCAGAAAACGCGGAAGGAAGTGGAAGTTATCGAAGACTTGTCAAAAGTTACGTTTACTGGCCTTACTGGCACTGTTCGATATTGGGCCGTTGTTGGGGCTGAAGTTTCATCCTCGGACACGGTGTGCACGGAGATATTATAAGCTCGACCTGCAATAATAAATAATTAATATTCTCCTTTGGGAATATTTATTCGGCTTTCTCCCAATTCATGCTTATCATTATTTAGTACTATTTAGTATTATTTAGTATTATTTAGTACTATTTAGTATTATTTAGTATTATTTAGTACTATTTAGTATTATTTAGTATTATTTAGTACTATTTAGTATTATTTAGTATTATTTAGTACAACATACAATTATTCAGTATAATTTAGCATTACATTTCATCATTCAGTACTATTTAGTATTATACACTATCACTTGGTGATGTTTGGTAATGCATTTAGTAATATTTTGTATTACTCAGTATTATTCAGAATGATGTACCTTAATTAACATTATCTAGTATTATCTAGTATTGTTTAATATTTCCTAACATAATTTAGTATTACTTAGTAGTATTCAGCCTTATTTAGTATTTTTTAGTTTCACTTATTATTTTTAAACATTACTTAATATTATCTAACATTTAAAAAGTAATATAATACTCTGCATTATCGACAATTCTCAAATTAAGTAAAAATCAAGAATTTTATGATAATCATACAATTTAACTTCCTCAACGCAAATTAACATAACCTAATTTTCTTTAAGCATATTCCTAATACGACAAAAATACAATTTATAATCATAAACGATACAATAAAATACTTCATATATTAATAAGTAAAACTGACATACTACACGTGAAAATTTGTTTACTGTGCATCACACATACACCACTCTGAGAAATTGCCCTAATGCTTGCCCCTCTAGGTATAAGATAACCCTAACACGAGGTTTTCGCGGTACATTAACCAATAAAACACCCATGTTCCCAACGTAACGCATTGTAAGCGTAACGTAACGCCTGACTTAAAACTGACGGTAGTGATTCGCGACTCATTCCACGAACGCAGTCTCAACATTGAGTGCTTAATTTAGTACGCGGTCATGAGCCCCGAATTCTGGGCCAATAATGTCACGGCTTTCTCCCAATTCATGCTTATTGTTACTAAGAATCTTGCAAAAGTATTTGAGGAATTCGGCTCCACTTTTCGTCCGAGATTTTAACCCTTAACGGCATACGTCATCAAAATACTTGACACACGGAACGTTTAAGACCCCAAGCACTAAAAAAGTTCATTACAAAAAAGCTACTCATTATTTTAACTTGGAAAAAATTATAAATAATCCTGGAAAGTGGTGTCAACATATTTCATAGTTGATTTCAGTAAATTTAAACGTTGAATATGAACAAAAATTCAGAAAGATTCAAGAATAAAAAAATGACGGTTTTCACAGAAAAATTCAGAACCTTTTTCGACTTCAATATGAAGAGATAAAATTTTAGCTGAGCACTCTTGAGATATAACAGTTTGAGGAAAAAAATAGTAAAAATACGGGGCTTTCAAAAAAGGTATTTATTCAGATTTCCAGGATATGAAGTAGTTAACATTGAAGCTAAATTAGTAGGGGTCGCTTCATATCCCAGTGTGATCGTTAAGGGTTAACCTTTGCACTCTTATATCTGGTGTGTCTCGACATTTCTCTTGGATCTTATAAATAATTCAGATAAATAGATTGGCTGAACATATATATTTATAATAAATGAAAAATATATTTGTCTCCCCTTTCTTGATCTATTTTGTAAATTAAGTTGGTAGTTGAAAAAGAAATTAAGAGGGTAAAAACTAATTCCTCTAAAAATTAACAAATTTACAAGAACTTCTTTTCTAGAATTATTTGCAAAATAAGTGAAAGAGATGCCGATTGCTTTATCAGGAGCAACAAATGTGTTGATAACAGATGTTCAGTTGTCGTCAATATTATTAAACATTTACAAATTTGATTTCGTACTACAATGGCAGGTGAATTTGGACATATAAAATTTTCATACGCTTTGATAAATAACTTACCAGGAACTAGTCCCTTGAAAGCAGCTTGCGCTGGCCCAGGGGGTTCGCCTTCTTTTTCCACATAAAGAACAGATTCTATGGCATCGGGAGGATCTATACTAACTTTGTAATGGGTATAAATCCCTGGAGGATAAGGTGGCTGCCAGAGGACCAACAAGGTCGTTTCGTTTCTAAACCATACGATAAACTTGCCGGGTGTGTTGGGTTCTGTAAAAATTAGAGAAATTTGAGACTTGCATGTATCATCATCATTATAAATTCAAAAGTAAATGATGTCTTTAAATGATTATAGCTAATGGTAATCTTAAATGATGAGTGATGTATTTCAGTTTAAAATCAATTGTATTAAATTTATTTGTAGAATTATTGAAATTATTGAAAATATTGGAATTGTTAGAATCATAAAAATTAATAAAAAATATTAGAATTATAGGAATTATTGGAAGTATTGGAATTATTAGAATTATTGAAATAATTAAAATTATTAAAATTATTGAAATTATTGAAATTATTGAAATTATTAGAATCATTAGAATTATTAGAAAATATTAGAAAATATTACAATCATTGGAATTATTGGAATTATTAGAATTATTACTATTACAAGAATTATAATAATTGTAAGAATTAATAGAAAATATTAATAGAATATTAGAATTGTTAGAGTAATTGGAATTATTAAAGCTAGCAGAATTATTAAAATTATTATTATTATTATTTATTTAGAATTATAAAGTTTTATCTTTATTTAATATAAAGATAATCTAAATTTATTTTATTCATCATATAATACAAATTGACCATTAAAGAATTTAATTTGTTTATTATACTAAAACATTCGTTATCATGATAAACTTTAAACAATTACAGACTTTTTGAATACATAATTATTTTCTGAAAAAACTATTTATTATTATTTCACGTAATAAATGATTGAAAATGTATTATAAGGAAGAACTGTTGAATATTGTAATTTCTTCGCTTCAGTTATAAAGTTTAGAGACTTTCAGCTCTGAGTTCATTTCGTAATTACCGGTTATGAAAGTAGACAGAAATTGTTGAAAACATTACGGTGATATCGGCTGTATAACGGTACGCTTCTAATTGGCAATTCATGAATTCGTAATAAATAACGCAATATCGGCTTTCAATTGACAAACTACTTCAACTACGAACTCCAACACAGACAAAAATGTCTGCCAAATATACGGGTGCTTCATGAAATTTCAAACTTGTTATGAACCAACTGAGTTTAGTCTATATTTTCCACTTTTATCCACTGAGTTTCACATAATTTATAGATAACATTAACGGAAAAAGAATAATTTTATGTCGATTGCAAGATAAGTACATCATTTTTAAATCTCTATATAAATTAAGTCTCACATCTCCATTTTTACAAGTTTATTTCTTTCTTTATCAACAAAGTATATTAAAGAAAAAAAATACAGATTTTTTAACTAATAAAAAATTACCGAGAATATCAGTTTAAAATAATTTTAAAAGAATGCAAATCCGCGTCTCATAAATCAAGTTTTACTAGTTAAGTTGCATATTGATGTATCATAAATTACCACAGTAATTTTTTCAGACAGCAATTTAATAATTTGCGTTCATAAAATGTAGAAAATCACGGAGAAAAAATTTAAAAAAATACAGGTAAAAAAATAGACTTTATCTACATTAACCACATGCGACTCGTGACGCACTAAAAGTCAAATGCGACAAACCAGACTAACATTTTCACCGCAACTGAATTTATTTTAATAATTCTAATTATAATATCTACAATCAAGAATCTCTGAATGCAACATACGCCTAGTATTGTACATTATTTTATTTATTTTAACACTGTAGCAATTAGTCACATTCGAATGACTGTCCACAAAATTATAGGTTAAGTGATTGAGCGCATTTCATGGGTAGACGCAAATTGTCAGAATGATGGATCATGTTCACTTACTCGTGGTGAAATTTCTGCTAGTGTAAGCAACGCTTTCTTTGGTGTCCAACACAGTGAAAAGTTGCAGGGAATACGTTGCCCCAGGGATGAGATCACGAAGCAAATAGGGAACCGCATCCGCTGAGATGACGCTTGTTTTTGGATTTCCGGTGTCGCTAAAGCTTTGCACCCTCAACCGGAAACCGGAATAATTGCCCTGAGCTGGCGGTGCCCAATAGACTATCGCGTTCTTTCCATTTCGCACCGAAACGGTCAGGTTCGAGGGTGGATCCGGTGCTGCAAAGTAAAATTCATTCAATCGAACGAAAACTTCTACCTCTTATTCGGAGTAATTTTTTTGTTAGATAAAAAGGTGGAAGCTTCGTGTTCTGTGTAAATTTATGTGCATCAAATGCAACGAGTATACATATGCACATGAAAAATATTAAATCCTAAATAACGAATCTCAAGCAGATAGGAAAACGTTTGCGTATAAATTTTACAATACCTCAATAAAATTTAATATGATTCAAAGTTACAAAAAGAACAAAAAGTATAATTGAAATCTATTTCAATAATTATCTTTGATAAAATATTAAGGAGTTATCGCTAAATTTTTAAACTATCAGTCATCAGAAATTATATAATCGTTTTAGTTATTACAAAGTTAGACCATTGAACCGAATTAGTAGTAAAATAGAAACAAGCATGATTGAAAATAGAATTATCTTTGATTTTAAAAATTCAAATATAAACAAAGTACAACTCCAAATTCCAATAAAGCATTAGTCTATTATGCAATATAAACGATGACGTATTTAAGTGTTTAAAATGATAAAAACAGCAAGTGGCGATCTTTGAACGACAGCATAATTGAATTCAGTAAATGGCAATGAGAATATACATATGCACGAGTGTAAAAGGTTAGTCATTCTTGAATAAACATAAATATTCAAATCTTTGCTGAAACCGTCACTACGAACTTCATAAATTGAAGTCACTATGAACTTCTTCAGTTGAAGTCAATAGTGTCAATCGTTTCTCACGATGTATTTACTCGAGGCTTTGATCAACATAGTAATCAATTGATAAATTTACCTGTGGTAATGGAGGCAGTCCATGTGAGCCAGTCATGAAGGGTGCTATTACTATAATACAACCAAAATTCGTATTTAGTACCAGGAAGCCCATCTTTGAACTTGATGACGTCACCGATGTCGACGGCGGCTATGGTGGTGTTGGGTGGTGGATAACCAACGGGAGGGCTGTAGTCTAAACGATACCATGAGCCGCCTTGGCTCAAATTCCCTGGTATTTCGATAGCAAGATCAGCCGAGTATGTGACCTAAATAGAAAGAGAACCAAATTAAAATTCGCTCATGGTTCAGATTTATTTAGAATCGTATAACTTCTAAATAGTAGAATTATAACCGCTTATTTACAATTGTTTCAGATATTGTTTTGGGTAAAAATTTGAACAACTACTGAGTTGTATTTTGTGATTAGTATATCAAAATAAAGATATAAAATAAAGAATACATCAATATTGTGTACCTGTATATATTGTATACACCCTGTATATAAAATATAAAGATTTGAGTATGTGAATGATTATAATGTAGAAATTAGGAAATCTAGAAAATTAGAAATATAAAAATTTGGGAATATAGTGATTCACTAATGTAGAGTTTGGGAAATGTAGTCATTGAAGAATATAGGAATCTGGGAATATATGTAGTGATTGCGAAATGCAGACATTCAAGAATATACAAGAAATTTCAGAGTATAGTGATTTAGGAATATACAAATTTGGGAATATAGTGATTCACTAATGTAGAGTTTGGGAAATGTAGACAATGAAGAATATAGGAATCTGGGAATATATGTAGTGATTGCGAAATGTAGACATTCAAGAATATACAAGAAATTTCAGAATATAGTGATTTAGGAATATGCAGATTAGGAAACGTAGACATTCCGAAATATAGAAATCTGAGAATATAGTGATTTAGAAATATGGAGATTTGTAACTATAGAAATTTCAGCTGAGAATACTAGAAAATATAGAAACTTGATAACACACGAATTTGAAAATACAAAAATTCGGTAATACAGAAATTCGAGCGTATAAAAATTTGAAAATACTGAAATCTGAGCAAACAGAAATTCGTATAAATAAAAACTAGAAAATATGGAAGTAGATGAAATAACACGAATAGTTCAAAGTTAAATCTCTGACGCAAGCTATGAATAAAATATGAATACATTTCTTTATAATATTACTTATCACACTACACTCCATTATTATAATTTTAACCAGTCTAAATAACCACAAAAAATTTCATCTTTTAATACTTTAAATGCTTATAAAAATCTCCAACGAAGATGATTTATAATCCCAGAAAATGATCGCTTAAATCATATCGCCAAATGTATTACATTCGTATCAGTGGGTAGCCAATATAAAAACTCGTTACGGTAGAAATCAAATTGTATCGGTAACCTCTTTGTGAAAGCAGTACATATTGTGCTTGATAAAATCGCAGACGTCGAAACGATCGTTACACAAGCATGTGTTACGTGTGTGGGTTACACACACACGGAAAATGTGGCATTTCTATGTTACGATATTACGTATCTGGATCACGATACAGCGACACGCGACCAGACGAGGCCGCAGTCAATGGCAAAGAGGCATAAACCTTTGTGGTATTTATAGTACACATTTTATGGCACTATGATAAACATCCATTCTCTAAGTTAGAGAGATTATACGCTAGAATCCGGATTATTGGAGATGACCCTGGATAAAACGAATCAGTACGATCACATTATTCAAATCTGATTAAACTCTTACTTGGTCAAGGCGTCTTGTATAGTTAATTTAATCAGGAATATTGGTATTTACTATGTCACATAGGGTACATAGGGTAACTTTAGAAATTTACTATATCCCCATGGGGTTTATTTTAAATCATTTTTAGAACATAGAGTGTAGGTGAATTATTTTTGAATAATGAGTAATTAAAATTAAATTTTAATATTACATTGATTCATACTAACAGTTCAATATTGTTACTGCTGACAAATATTTGAAATTCCCCATAATCATTAAATATAAACATAAATAAATCCACATAAAAAATGTATTTTAACCAATTAATGTCCTATAAATTCTGCCTTCTTGATTTTCACCTTAAGGGGGGCAATACCTAGAGGGGCAATACCTTTAGACAGATGAAAATAAGCTGATATTTGTGAATTTTTATGTATAGGACACCTTTGTTTTGCATTTTCGAAATTTCAGGTATAATTTATTATAACTATTACCTATTACAGAATATTTTCTGTTTTGCAAAATATTTAAAAATGCCGAAATTATGACAATCTTTTCTGGAAGTGTTTTGGCGCGTCTCGTGATTCGGCGTGGGTTCTAGCTTTAGATATATTGGTCTGAAGCAAGTTTGCAGACAATGTTTCGAAAACTAACATTCACAGTTAGTAGATGAACCTCAGAAATGTGCAAAATATGTAAAATTCAAGGAATGGCGCGCTTTTGAAGAAAAACTGAATTTTATTGAAAATTTTTGCAATGTTTTGCAATAAAAAGGACTTTAATGTTCAATTTATTTCATACATTTAGGTTCATATGTTAGATAGTATTGTCATGGATATGTACAAAAAATTTGAGCGCGATTGATAAACTAGTTTTTGAGTTATCAGTCACGCCAATTTTGAGAACGCAGTTTTGAGAAAAACGCGTTTAAAATTTCAGTCCTCCGCACTGAACAAATGTATATCCGCGGCGGTAATCGGCCATAACTTCAAAAGGGCTTCGCATTTCACTTTAAAATGTTGAGACAATATTTTTAAGATGTTACACTAACATTTTGTAGAAAAAAAATTTTGTAATTTTTTAAGATTCCAAAGGTATTGCCCCCCTTAAATGAATCACAATTTATAAATAATAAAATTATCTCTAGAACTACAAACTGTAAAACCCAATTCAAAATCCTAGATTAAAAGAAATGACTACATTTTGTAATTTAACAAATTCAATAAATCTCAAAGAATTTGAGATTGAAGTTTCATGTAATTTTTATGTAAATTTTTCAGAGAAACACAAATTACGAATTCAGTAAATAACGCGAAGTTAACTCACGATGCAAAGAGATTTTTATTTTGTTTTTCTACTCTCTTGGTCGACCGTTAGCGCGGCGTCGTTAAAAGTATGAAACATCAACGAAACGGCAGAAATCCTTTGAAGAAAGAAAATTGAAAGCGTTACCCTCGCGCCAGAGATTTCTTCTAATTTCGCTTGTCAGGTCGTGGAACGCGACACAAGGGTGCGTAGGAGGGTGGCGTGTTTCAGAAACGAGCACCCATCGCTCGATGTGAAACTTTAACGGTCTGAAAGTCTCTCTCGAGCCACGACCGCGTTTAATCACCGGAAATTCGCGTGGCAAATAATTCGTAATGCAAGGCGAACCTTTTCGTTATCCGCAGCGAGATTCGAGACTGAAACGTTATGCTATTTCTAGCAATTCAATTAGAGATTTGGGTAGATAATTGCGGTACATGCAGTTTTGTGAATGCAGAAATGTGAAAAGACGGAAATTTCAATATAGTAATTTGAAAGTGTGGAAACCTGAGAAATATAGTAAATCGAGACCTGCAAATAATATAGATATTTGAAAATATATAGATACCACAGAAATTTAGAAACATTAATTGCTGCAATACATTAAAGCATCTAAATTGTACAATAAGCTGTAAACATACTGTGTGTTGCTAATAACCTATGCTTGGTCTAATACGACTATAAATAAATCAATGAAAAAAAAATTTAGACGAACAATAATTTGAATACAGAAAAGAAATGTTGAGACTTGAGAAATGTAATAGTTTGGTAATACAAAAGTTTAGAAATATAAACATTTACAAAATATAATAATTTAATGGTACATGAATTTGGTAATATAATTATTTGATAATGTAGGAATATGGAATATGGACATTTGCAAATTATGGTAATTTGATAATATGGAAATCTGGAAATATAGTGCTTTACGAAATACATTAATTTAGTTATGTGTAAAAATGGCGACATATAGAAACTAACGAAATAAAGTAATTTGGTAATATAGAAATGTGGAACTACAGGAATTTGGAAATATACATGATTGATCGATTGATTGATTGTTTGAACTATGGGCGTTGACTGATGTGGTCGTTGACCCCAAAAATATAGTCATATGGTAATGCAGAAATTTGGCAATAAGGATATTTGCGAAAAATAGTACTTTGGTAATATAGAAATTATAATACTACACCAACAATAAAAATACACTAATTTTCATAATTTGGCAGTATATTTGGAAACCTAATTTATGAAATGCAGCAATTTAATAATATAGAAATGTGGTAATATAAACATTGATAAATATGAAAATTTACGAAACATAATATGATAATATAGAATTTTTCTAAATAATTACAAAATAATAATAATATACTAATTTTCATGATTTCGTAGTATATTTAGAAACATAGTTTATGAAATACAGTAATTCAGTAATATAGAAATGTGGTAATATAAACATTGGTAAATGTAAAAATTTACGAAACATAATTTAGTAATATAGAAATTTAGAAATCTAAAGATTTTGAAACATAGACAGTATTTTAATGTAACAAGAAATTCTATTCATTATTAATATGATTTAAATACTACATCCACAAAACGAACTCAAAGAATTAAAAGAAGTAAATCTACTTTCCATATTTTTTTACTTGATCGGTATAATTAACTATAACTAATTTACTCCTGAAAGAAAGAACACGTTTTTCGTTTTAAATAATTACATTTTTTATCCTACCAGAACTCATCTTGTGTCGAATAGTTCGTCGCAATATAGCTAGTATATAGTATAGCCAGTAATGCGTTCCTTGCTGTAAGGGAGGCGAAAAATGGTTCTCATCCATCCGCATCTTATAGAAATGATATTCAAAATGTTTCGACGTTGTTAGTAACACAGTCTGGAGGAGTTACACAGTTATTCCATTATTCTTTGTACAATTAGTTCCGATGGTAGATGGTGGCGTAACGATGGCCGTGGGGGTGCACGCCAGATGGAAAGAGGAGGGACGAAGAAAAGGGATGGTGCGAGAAACTCGCTGAACTAAAGGGAGACGACGAAGGGAAAAGGGATCGATATGCACATCAGCGTCGCGACCGGATGTAGGAAGAGAAACTCGAAGCTTTCCGCGCCCATAGGGAAAAGGGCGTCGGAAATGTTTGGAAATGGAAAAACTTAGATAAGTTGTCCTAAAGACCTAACTTGC